ACATCTCAAGCTCACATAATTTTAATACAATTCAAGCTAGCAACCTCAACAACTTATGTGGGTTAATCAATTAGTACAAATGGACTTAAAAATAAACTTAACTTAGTAATTGTTCCTCATATTTTAAAGGGTAAAACTGCACATATAACCAATAAAATGACATCCTCCATTAAAACATGACAACCGTGAGACTTTAAGCCTTTCAATTTTAGATCTTTCATTGATACAAGATTTCTAATATTTATAAAGTAGCCTTTACGGACTTTAATCGCATTAAGGAACTCACAAAATGTAGTTTTCTCTTTCTTTGATAGTGTATGAGTTGCTAGAGGGAGAAAACTATAGTTTCCCTAATCTGAGGGTGCTAATTCTTCTCTTATTTCTAAAGAAACCATGTCCAATCATGCTTTTATACCATCTTTTATTTTTCCTAACACTTAGAGTAAAGTGTCAATAAGACTCTTACAGACATTTTTCTTAATATGCATAACATCAAAAAATGCTGAACATTTAAGGTGGTCTAATAAGGAAGTTAAAAAAATAGGTCTCTTCTTCCATCAACTTATCTTAAGGTGCCTTGCAAAAGGTTTGTAGGATTCAATATCAAAATCCTTGATCTTCTCAAACAGCTCATTGCCTATTAATGGCAAAGGTGGCTCACCTTCTTCTAGATTTTCATTGAAGGCTTTTCTCAACCACTGACAGGAGCCAAATATATGTCTATGTCATTCACAAGTTTCTTAGATCCCACAATTAACATTGACAACATCATATACTTACACTTCATGCAAAGCCACGGAGGAAGGTAATAGATCACCAAAATGGTTGGCCATGTATTGTAGCTATTGCTTTGAAGCCCATGCAGATTCCTCTCTTTAGTAGATATAGCAACACATAGGTTCCTACTTTCTTCCCTAAATTTAAGGTATTCATAATTAATCTTTCTCCATTGTAGAGAATTAACAGGATCATGAAGCAGGTTGTCTTTAATCCTTTCATCCACATGCCATGTTAAGCTTTTTGCAACTTCTACATTACTATACATGTGTCTAAATCTAGGCCCGATTGGAAAATATCATAGTGCTTTCATCAAAGTCAATCTATTCTACTTGTAGCATGATGCATTACATTTCGAACACTCAGTTAACTACACATATTCATTCCAAAATAAAAGGCAATCATTAGGGCATGCATGTATCTTTTCATAACTCATGCTAACTAATTGCAGCATTTGCTTTGCATCATATGTTCGGTAAGGAAGCTCATTCTCCTTAGGAAGTAATTCTACTTTTAAATACCCAAGCAACTCAGTGAAGCTTACATTACTCCATCCATGTTTTTCCTTCATATTGTAAAATTTTAACATTGCCAACAACTTTGATGTACTATAACCAACATACTCTGGCATTTCTACATCACTTTTCAACTTCTCAAACATTTGTAAACAATCCTTGAGGTTTACTTCAATTGCTTTGGCCATCTATTTGTGACCATCTTCCTCAAATGTGCATATGTCAAAATCATCAAGAGATGATGTACGGCTTTTACTATGCTCCAAGCTACAACTAATATCATCCTTTGTCTCACCATACAGTGTCCAATACTTGCAACTTTGATCCATCCCATTAATCACTAAGTGTTCTTCTCATGTATTTGGACTAACCCTCTTCACAAGGTTGCATTTTAAACATGGACAAACAATCCTAGTAGGGTCCTCTGCATGCTTAATTGCAAATTTAATGAAATCTGTCACCCTATCCAATATTTCTTAAATAGACGATTAGCAGACATCCATTCCTTATTCATAATTGCTAAAAAATCAAGAGGGAATGTGATTAATTGCTTTGATGACTCTTACATATTAGGAGAGTTAGATACAAAATATCAATCAGTCAACGAGTCACTATCACTTATTTACACATTCCCACTTTAATCTTGTTTAAGACAAGTAGCTATTTTTAATACTAGCCATTGAAAAAAATTTGGCAACATAACGGCTTAAAAAGAGAGTTTCCTAAGCTTTTGGCCCTCTCTTGATTAATCTAATAATAATAGCAGCAACAACAACAACAAAAATCACATAAAGTTATATGTAAGAATAATTTCAAAAAAATTTGGTAGTATAATAGCTTAAAATAAGTATTATTAAGGCTTTATCCCTTTAGAAAAATTGAGTTATTCATAACAAGACTATATATTATCCAACAACAATAATAACAACATCAATAATAAGCCAAATTTTAATTAAAATCATATAAACTATATCAAACATTATACATATCAACTTAAAACTTCAAAATTATTTCTACATAAGCTAATTTTTAATCAATTCAAAAACTAGCAATGTGAAAATTGGCAACTCAAGGAACAAAAAATCTAAACTAATCATTCAATTACAAAACAAGCACTATCAAGTACCTAATAAGCACCTCAAACTCAAAATTTAAAACACCCACTAACAAGAACAACAATGGAGATCAAAATAATCAATATTGAAATCACTTATTGCATATGTAAGTCAAAATCAACAACACACATATTCAAAATGAAGACTAATAATTGGAAAAGCAAGAACCAACCTCAAGAAGAAGAGGAGAAGCTGAAAATAGAGAGAAACACAGAGATGAGGAACCAAGAGAATGATGAAGGCTGAGAATCTACTCACATGAGAACTTATGAAAATGATGGCGGTTGAAAATCAAAAATCCTTTGAGAATTGAGAGAAAAAAAAAGTGTCTTTTGGCAATTGAAGTGACAAAAAATAGGTTTTGATGGCTCTTGTTGTGTTTTCAATATAAAGGAGTTGTAAAAATGTGAAGAGAAAACATTTTTATAGGGCAATTTAAATAATAATACTTGACAATTATTTCATAATAACCGTCAAGTATGACACAAATAATCATTAGACATATTTGACGTCTGACGATTATTTCCAAACAAGCATCAAATGTGTATATATTTTTAAATTTTTTCTTTAAATTATTAATTTGACGTTTGTTAAACCAAGACCGCCAAGTATGTTGCATATTTATTTGACGATTATATTTAAAAATTATCAAATATATATATACTTGATGATTATTAGTAAATAACTATCAAATATGGGTAAAGATATTTGATTGTTTATTATAAAAAATATTAAATATTCTCTGCCTTTTTTATTTGTCATTTTTGTGAAATAAGCGTCAACTATAGGGCATCAAATATCCCCTTTTCTGTGGTTGTGCCTAAGGATATTTTTTAATAACTTGGGGAATTGAAATAGTTAAGTTTTCTAGGATAGTTTTCACAGGGGACTTCATTTTGGCCAAAGGGGAGAAATTCATTACCAAAGCCATAATTCATGAAAAGATAATGATTCTTCCATTATCTGAACTCTAGGTTCTCCTTTCATAAAAAGGAAATTCACATACACTTTTACTAGCTTAGGTTTTCTAGTATTTTTGGATAGATTAGGTTAGTCAAACTCACACCATATTGAGTAACTTGTAGCCTTAGATAACCTCACATTGAATTTGACCACTTCCTAGGGAGATAATCTAGGTTGTTCCCTTTACTTCCTTAGTATTGCCTAGTACTATTTTGCAAGGTGGGTGACTACCCTTGTTAGCCAATGACTATCAACATGGATTATTGGTTAAAGGAATATATATATATATATATATGTAATTACCCAAATTTCTAAACTACTTTTAAGTTATAACATAATGGTTTCTTGTTAATTCGTGAACGGTATTTGTTATTTTATTAATATCACTTGTTAGTTTGACATAGCCAATTACTTTAGTTTGCAAACAACTTGTTTGTTATAATATAAAGATAACTTATTAATTTTTGAATGACACTTATTATTTTTCTAATATTAATTGTTAATCTAATTTGGTTTATTAAAAATTAGGGGTTTAAAAATTCATGTGTTTTACAAGTTCCCAATTTTAAATTGACATTTTTGTGTCATTGAAATAATATGTTCATCTATATAATAAATTTAGTTTCCAAACCACTTATTTGTTACAACATAATGGTGACTTATTAATTCTTGAATGGTACTCATTAATTTACTAATATTACTTGATAATTTGACATTATTTATTATTAATCTGAGATAGTCTATTAAAAATTAGAGATTTAAAAACTCATGTATTTTACAGGTTCAATTGACATTTAACTATCATTAAAATAAAATGTTCATATAGGTAATAAATTTAATTTTCAAACCACTTGTTTGTCATAATATAATAGTGACTTATTAATTCTTGAACGACACTTGTTATTTTATTAATATTATTTGTTAATATGATATAGCCTTTTAAAAATTGAGGTTTAAAAATTCATGTATTTTTTAGCAAAAAAAAAAAAGAATTCTTGTATTTTATAAGTTTGTAATTGTAAATTGACATTTAAATGTCATTAAAATAATATGTTTATATAAACAATAAATTTAATTTTCAAACCACTTATTTATTTACATTTACAAGTTCTCAATTATATTATGGTCATTTCATGCTCAAATTCATTTACATTTTAGTCCCTAATCCTATTACAAAATTTAGATTCTTTTGATCCTTTTTTGCTATAAAATGTGTCTAGAGGTACTATAGTAATATTTTTCCAAAAAGTTATTAATAGTTAGGTCATTGATAAAAATTTTTAAAAATAACTACAAATATCAATTTGAATAATTTAAATTCAAAATTTTTAATTGTAAATTAGATATTTAAATTTTAGATATAATTTTCAATTTATAATTAATATTTTTTTATAATTATCTGAATTAATATTTATAATATATATTTTAAAAAAAAATCTTTAACTATGATTAATTCTAGTTGTTGAGATTTTTCTGTCATTCTTTCAAAATTTAACCCGTTGCAGTTGAATTTGTACTTTATAAAGGAATAATAATCACAAACACAGATAATAATTGGTAAATATAGGTTTTTATTTTCTTACGGAATAAATAATAATACCCAAGAAAGCCATAAATTTAGAAGTCAAAGACCTTGTGCTGCTTGATAACAAATTCCAGAACTTCCGGTCCCAAAACCGCAGTCTGCAGAGAGTCTCCGGCAATTCTCGACATTTCTCGGTGATCCTCTCCAGCTATGGCAATAAACCCTAAATCACATCACGATTTGACTCTGCTCACGCTTTCGTTGTTTTTCTTTATCACAATCACACCTTCTTCCTCTCTTACCTACGATTCTAACCAAACGGTGTACGAAATTTTGCCCAAATTTGGCCTCCCAAGTGGCCTTTTGCCGGACTCTGTCGCTGATTACTCCTTCTCTTCCGATGGTCGTTTCGTCGTGCATCTGGAGAGGACTTGCTATGTTGAGTTCGATTACTTAGTATATTACGATACCACCATCACAGGCAAGCTCAGCTATGGTTCCATCACCGACCTAAAAGGCATCCAAGTGCGCCGGTTCTTCTTATGGCTCGATGTTGACGAGATCAAGGTTGATTTGCCGCCGTCTGAGAGCATCTATTTCCAGGTCGGCTTCATTAACAAGAAGCTCGATATTGATCAGTTCAAGACTATCCATTCTTGCCGTGATTCGGTCATGGGTTCTTGTCTGGGATCCTTGAAACGGGCCTTCGAGGTATGGAGCACTCTGCTGGTTATATTCAACTGTCTTCTATGTTTAGCGATGAATTGGATATTATTTTGGGGAAATTCCTATCCATCGTATGGTCTGGCCCAAAATCAAGTTTCCTGATTCAAAACGTCTTATAAATACTCGTACGCTTTTTTAATCAGCACGTAACTTCCCTGTGCTTTTTTATCCATATTTTAATTCAACGAGAATGGTGTAGAGATGAACAGTTTCATTGTCAAATATTTTATTTGTATGAAGTATTGAATATTTTTCATTGGTTCAAGTCTTCTGGCATTGATAAGATACTTTTAATGTCAAAATATCATATAATTCCAGTAATGGCTAAAAGATTATGTCTCTGTTTAGGTTATTAGATCATACACTTAACTCGCCAGGTAAGTTGAAAGAGACATTGATTTCTTATGGAATTAAGGTTCTTGCATCTGTGCTTGATAGGCTAGCAACTGAAAAAGCTGGATTAAATTTGTAGCTATGCTTCTACTTCACATGGATTAGATCTGTGGTCATTCAGGTTGTTCGAGTTGAACTTGAACTAAAGCAATACGTGGTTCTTGACAAGTTTTCTGTATTGTGACTTAAAACAACATAGAAGTTTGAAATTTTGAACGGAAATACGCCAAATTGGTGTAGAAATAGGACAGATGAAATGATGAGGAAGCCCGTGAATTCTAATAAAGATGCGAAATGTGATCTATCAAGTTGTATGTCTGTCCAAGTTAGGAAGATATTGATTTTATCTTTTGTATATGTTTTAGAGGCAAATGACTGAACGCTTAATGTTGGAAAGTATCATTGGCTTAATGAATGATCAATTTTGTGAGATTTAGGTTTTCCTTTGTTCATATGGAAACTGTTTGTTTGTCCTCTTGCTAAAAGTACCATGAGAATATACACGTATGAAGATACATCCCATTTATTTATGATGTTTGTTTATTGATTTAGTTAAGAAAGGCAAATTACTGGCTAATCTTGCTGTAGCAAAATGTATGGCACTCAACAATGTAATGGATCTAATTTTAGAAAATCAAATAAGGTGCTTATTTTTGGGCTTTGGCCCTGTTCTTGAGTACAGCTTCTCATTGACTGAACCTGAAAAGTTTTCTTAAGCAGTCTCTGCTTTGATGCTTCTCAATGTCGGCATCTGGCCATTGAATTTGCAGCCTGGCAAAACTGTTGTTTTAGGAATCGCTTGTCTGGAGGGCTGAGGCGAAATATTAGTAATGCTTGATGGAAAAATTGTATACTGAAATACTTTGAACCTTTGCTCAAAAAAAAAAAAAAAAGAAAGAAATACTTTGAACCATTTTTGTCAACAAAAGCAAATCTTTTTTCTATTTGACCTTTCATTTCCTTGCCCTTGTTTATTTTCAGCATACCAATTGACATTATTTATTCCCTCGGTTTACATTATCTTTCCTTGGATTCCTGGATTCCCGTTGCAAATATGTAGTTTCTCAAAAGTAAAAATTTTCCAGAAACTAGATGCTTACATTCATTGAACCTTCTATTCTTTCCTTAGTCTTGGTATCATTATTTGAATCCTGTTTGTCCGGCCTTTACATATAAATATGGATAATATTTACTAACCTGTACAAATCTTACTTTTGAATGTTGCAGCTTCCAGCTCCAGTGGATGAAATTCCTATGCTACTTACTGAGTAGATGCACGTTTATGGGGTTGGGTGTCTACATGGAAGAAGCATTTTACACCGTTCTACTTGTAGCTTATCTCATCATGACTCAAAAGATGAGTCTGATTTAGTAGTTCTATACCTATGAACTTAATTACCATCATCATGTACATAACAAAGTCATAAAAAATAGACCGGATGGTATCACATTATGGTGTTGTAGGTTGAAACTTTGTAGCAAAAGAAAACTACGATAAATTACAAAGGCTTGTACTGTATACTGCTACTCCAAACTACGTGTACTTTAGTCGTCGTTTTCTTTTTTTGGGGTAAAATGTACTTTAGTCTTCTTAGTTGCTAGTATTTCTACTTCTGACATATGACTATGTTGTCTGTCATATTTCCTTGGTCTCGTATTCCTATTCTGAGAATGTTCCGGTATGTTGCTTTATTCTTTATTTGAATGAGGAGAAAAATAGAGGGGGAGGACAATTAGGAGAGAAAATTCCTAAAATTAGTAAAATAGTTATTATATTTGGAAACGTTTTTTCCTAGTTTTCTTTTCTTTTTATTTTCTTCTCATTTTTGGCTCCATCCAAAAGGTATTGATTTGGATGGGCATGTGAATGTAACACCATGGTGGATTTGCAAGCTCTTCTTTCTCCTCCTCCCTGATTGAATCGTTTGATGAGTTAGTTATTGTTTTTTATTGTGAGAGTAACGCTCACAGTTCCCTATAGCACAAGTGTATACCACAAGATTTATTAACCTATGAGAATAATAAAATGATAACTAAAATGATAACCTTTTAGTTATCATTTTGTTATGTTTTGTTATTAATGAACTCTGGTATATAATTGTGGTGTAGGGGAGTTAAATGTGTGTATTCTTTATTACCATAATATGTTAAATATAATTTTATATTTTAGTTCCTAAATGTTTGAATCTACAATCCTTAATGAAAGTATCACCGAGAGGAGAGAGTGGATCCGTGATTGTGTTTCGGCCAAAAAGAGAAAGTTGATGATTGGGCAGAAATTTCTAACTTACTGGAAAATTATTAAAGAGTAAAGGTGTAATTTTTTCTTAAAAGTATTGTGTGAGGGGTATCAAGTATCCTTAACTAAGGTAAACGATAATGTTGCCCCCAATTTTTTTAAAATAGAATAATGGTGTCTAATTTTAATAGACTTAAATAGTTGACTATTAGTTGATTAAACTTTGTTGAGGTGGCATGCTCATGTTGCACCTAGAGCCAATAATTTAGGCCAACCTTGATGGCCGTGATGCATGGTGCAGGACTTTGATAAATAAGGATGTGTCCAGCTCATGAAACATAAGGAAAGAACAAGAGAAAAGGGTTCAGACGTGGAAAAAGTGCTAGCATTTGCTAGGGCAAGTAAAATTAGGACTAAGAAGCGACATTTCTGACCTATTACTTATCAAATAAGTATCGTACTACTTTAATCTTTGATTTTTATCATATTTTCTCTTAATTTTAACTAGTGAGAATTTGAATTTGAAAGTTTTAAGGAGTGAATTTCTTACCTTATAGTAATAGGAAGGTTCTCTAGAACTAAACTAGTACTTTGTGACTGGTTTGAGTCGGAATGATAAAGCTTTAAAGCTATATGCACAATTTGACCTATTCTAAAGAGAGAGTAGTGAGAGAAATTTGGCTAGGTAAAGGTTAAAGCTAGTAATGAGGGACAATCGGTTGTGATATGCATAACCGAGTGTGAATTATGAAATTGGTAGTAATTAGGTGCTTAATTGCAATAATTGGCACTTTTTGTTAATGGTGAAATTGATTTTAGATGCCAATTTTGTACAAATCCTAGTGGTAATGCGTAAATAAGCGGAGAGAGATTCAAGTAAGAAAATTGTACAGGTATAAAAGGATTGAGGTAACCGTATAATTTATTATATTTATTAACTATTATAACTGTATAGAAGTAACTATGAAATGGTGAATTTGTTTTTGATGAGTTATATGCATGGTTTGATATTGCAAACAATTTTAACATGAAAATCCATTTGTGAAATGAAATTTGAAAGGTTATTGATTTTTGGTTGATATATATATTATGTTTAAAAGTGTATGTTATAGAAATGTGAAAGAAAGTAGTGAAAATTGTGAAACAGAGCATGATCATAAGGGGGTGGGAGTTCACCCAAGATATGTGGGGATGTGTGTGTGGAGATATGAGTGAAAAATCAATATGGTCGGGTTGGCACCATGGGATATCTAGTTTAGCATTATACGAGCTGTTACCATGGGTAATCTGGTACATCGTACTATAGGACTATTATTATGGGATATTCGAGCAGTCTGGCAACTCCTTAGTTCTCGTTAGGGTACAGTTAAGAATCAACGACGCCTCTATCACAAGTGTGTGAAGAGAGAAACTATAGTCCATAGTGAGTTAAATTACCTTTCACCAGGTATTTCTACCACCAAAAGTGCACTTGGATTAGTGAGTGATTGACCTAGTAGAGCCTATGGTTTTGTAGGAGAGCATTGGAGGTTCGGTGGCTAAATGATCATGCTAGTGTGTATTTATGGAATTACTTTGAAAAGATGAAATTTCTTCATACTTTGATATACATATTTGATATTAACTTAGTTTTGTTACTTTGGCATGGTTATTTGTGATAACTGACATTTAACGAGCTATATTGGTTACTAAGATTTTTATCTCACCCGTGGTTATTTATATTTTTATGTTCTGGTAGTGGTGGTACAAAAGGAAAAGACATAGGTTGAATTGACTCCTCTTACTAAAGCCTTTGTAAGAATTTGGTGTAATGAGTTTATATATTAGTTATGAACTTGTGTATAAGTTGCTATAGGATTTAATGCATGTGCATTAAATGGTGTTTGTGGCATGTTTTGTTGATTTTGGTTCCCTTGCCCTTTGTATACGCATGAATGGTGAAATGATTGAGTGGGCTAGTGAATGAATGTGTAAATGTATGGATATGAAGTGTACTCGATGTGTATGTAAATAGATGGCCTTGTATGATATTGAAATGAAGAAATGTGATTTGGCCCAATGTGTGATATGAGTAGTTTACAGGCCAATTGTGTGTATAGGTGCTGTATTGTGTATATGAATGGTCAATTAGGTGTGCATTGTCTATTTAGATGTGGTCAAGGCCCAAAAAGCGGCTAATGATGTATGATTTCGAATGGAGATGCTTGAGTGATAAATTTTGACTTAAAAATGGTCAAAATGCACTTGGGTGTTCAACTTTTATATGGGATATTAGATTAAAACAAAATCAGTGTCATTAATTATATTTTGAAACAAGCTTTATGTGGACACATGAACCACCCCAATTGGACATCGAATGCAAAATTGGTGCACATATGAAGTTCTCACCATAATCTGTAAAATGACAGCAAATTCAAATGTGTGCGCCGTGGCACATGCATCCGTATGCCACAATGCATGTGGCACGAGCTGTGACGCATTGTCCTAATTTTGACCTAATTTTATTAAAATGCACATGTTCTCTTGGTCTTAGATACACCTATGTAAACTACTTCCACTGTGTAATGTTTTATAATTTGAGTAATTTATGAAATGATTTTGGAAATCTTTTCTTGGGATCCTAAGGTTTTCAATTTAAATGATTTTGGATTGATTAGTAATATAAGTAATGGAATGCATGGTAATGTTAGTGAGGGAATTACAAATAGTTGGTATTAGTTTCTTGAGTTTCGAGATTTAGTCACTGTCTTTGTTTGTTTGCATTCATTCCAGACCTTAGCAACTTATATAATGTTCATTACACTTATTCTTTTCCTTTTCTTATCTTTTATTTACTTTTATCTTTAGGAGGGGAGAAAATGAGAAGAAGAGATACTCGAGCTTTGCCTAGTACTCGAGTGTCAAGGCATCTGATAGACAATAAACCTGTGCCAGAGGTTCAACTGGATGTGCCTCAACAGGCCGATAGAAGAGATGACTTGTTGAAAGAGCTAAAAGATATGATAATTGGCATCAGACAAATAATAAGAGATCAGGATGTACTATTAAGGGGTAGAGATCAGGATGGTGAAAGAAAAGCTTAAGAAAGGCCGGTGCAGGAGGAAGCTCATAGCAGACCTGAGCTGCCTCAAGTTTAAGTAGTAGGCAAATTGTGAGAATTGCTATTAATTTGTCTATTGATTGAGCTTGGAAGACCTATGTGAGATTCAATCCACCTATATTCGACGAAAATATGAAAGAAGGGGAAGCTGAACAGTGGATTGAGCGCGTCAAGACCATATTTGAGGTAGTGACAAGCACACCAAAGCAGAAAGTAACCTTAGCTATAGTTCAGCTGGTTGAAGCAGCTAAGAGATGGTGGGATTTAGTTAGACCATGTGGTGGAGTGAGATACTCTTAGGAGGAATTTAAAAGGGTATTCTTTTATTACTATTTCCTAGCGTCCTTTCGTAGTAAAAAAGAGGAGAGTTCCACTCATTCAGGCAAGGGGACTTGGATGAAGTGGAATTATCAAGAGATTCAATGACGTTTTAGCCTATTCCACATATCTATAGCATAATGACACCATGTGGAAGGCAGAGCGGTTTCTAGAAATGATGCGTCTAAAGTACTGGCAATAAATTGCTCTATTTAATATTACCATTTATGAAGATATGTGTTATAAGTTAAGAATAACTATGAGGAGAGGCAGAGAAGCAGAGGTTGAGAAGAAGAGAGATAGTATGGAAAGGTTTACTCCTACTCTGGGTCCATCAGGTGGTGTTTCAAAGAAGCCCATTTATAACTAGAGCAGTTTTGGAGTTTTTAGGAAGAGGAGCTTTGCTAGAGGCTCTTAGATCGAGTTAGTTCAGAAGATTCAGTGCATAGGAGTATTGGGATTAGAATTGGGCCTCTGTAACCTTTAAGGCATGCCTCGAACACACCGGCTCCTACTTTTATCACTGGAAGATCATCCCAATGCAGTATTTGTGGTAGATTTCACATGGAAGATATTGGTCTTGTTTTAAGTGTGGGAAGCTAGGCCATATTGCTAAGTATTATCCCAAGGGTGAAATTGTGATGACAGAGTAACGGTCAACTGTTCTAGGATGACTATTTGCAGTGACATAAGAAGAGGCCAGAGCATCTTCAAACCTAATCAAAGGTATCTTTTTTGTTTGTGGTAATAGAATAGAAGCATTGTTTAACTCTGGAGCTACACATTCCTTCATCTTAAAGCAATGTGTAGATAGATTGAAATTAGAATTGAGAAAGTTACCTGTGTTGATTAAAGTCACTACACCTTTCGAATCCTCGAGTATTACTAGTAAAGTATGTCAGAGAGTAGAGATTATATTTAATGATTGAGTATCTGA